CTCCTGGAAGTTCCAGAAGTCCAGAAACGGGGCTGTTTCTGGCTTCCGGAAGGCCTCTGGAGCCTGGGGGAGGCCGTTTTCTCCCTCCCAGAGGCCTGAGGGAAGCCTCCGGACTCTGGGGAAGGTGAAAATGCCCCTCCTGGAAGTTCCAGAAGTCCAGAAACGGGGCTGTTTCTGGCTTCCAGAGGCCCTCTGGAGCCTGGGGGAGGCCGTTTTCTCCCTCCCAGAGGCCTGAGGGAAGCCTCCGGACTCTGGGGAAGGTGAAAATGGCCCTCCCGGAAGTCCCAGTAGGCCATGCCCACCCCCACCATGACCACGCCCACCCGGCAACCGGGCAGAGAACTGGTTGTTGGGATTTTTGAATCCCACCCCAGCATCCCTAAAAAAATTCAGACATTTGGCAACTGGCTCATATTTATGACCTTTGCTGTGTCTCGGGATCCTGTGATCCCTTTTTTTTTTGCGATCTTCTGACCAGCAAAGTCAACCAAGAAAGCCGGTTTCCTTTAACCCTCGTGTTTTACTAACTTAACAATGGCGGGGATTCACTTCACAACTTGAAAGGTCGTAAAATGGGGCAAAATTCACCCGATTAAATGTTTCCCTTAGCAACCAGAAATTTGGGGCTCAGTTGTGGTTCTTAAGTCGAGGACTACCTGTATCGGGCCAGAATTTTGTAGCCTGACACCTTGCTTCTCCGTGTCCCAGAAGGCCACGCTGGCTTCTGAAGGGCACAAAGCATCTCTCACACTTTCCCACAACAGCTGTGCAATGATGCTCGAAGTCCCAAAATAGCTTGCTTGAACTTTACAGCTTACTGGACCCTTAAAAAGTTATTTTCTCCTTAGTCTCCAAATCCTCTAGAAGGAAAAAAAAAAAGACGCTTTTCCAGAAATATGGTCCCTCCTGCTCCAGATCCTAACAGGAAAGGTCCAGAACCAGGAAATCAAAACAAGGGCAGCTATCTCTCAGGCCCAACTCCAAGTTGCCCTCAACTTGCGACCACAATTGACGTTGCTAAGTGAGAAGTTCGTTAAGTTACTGAGTCTGTCATTTGCACCTTTATAACTGCCTGGTTTGGTTCTACAACCCAACAGGGTAGACACAGACTTCAGAGAGTAATTAGGACTGCAGAAAAAACTATGGTTACCAAGCTGCCTTCAACTGAGGACCTGTATCCTGCACGAGTAAAAAGAGGACTGTGAAAATATCTACACACCCCTCACATCCCGGACATAAACTGTTTCAACTCCTTCCCTCAAAACGACGCTATAGAGCCCTGCATACCAGAACAACTAGACACAGGGACAGTTTTTTCCCGAAGGCCATCACTCTGCTAAACAAATCATTCCCTCAACACTGTCCAACTATTGACAAAATCTGCACTACTATTACTATTAATCTTCTCATCGCACCTTATCACCAACCCCGTCCCATTTGTGACTGTTTGACTAACTTTGTCGCTTGTATCCTTCCAATTTATATTGACTGTTTCCTAGTATGATTTGGTTGCTTATTGTACCATATGAGTAGAGGAACTGGGGTGGTGGTGGTGGTGGTGGTTGGCTCTCTGTTTACCCCGATCAAGGAATTACTAATTCAAGACAAACAAACAATAAACCACAGCCTAACCAAGGAACCACCAAAACGCTCCCAACAAACGCTTGACAAGGCAAGCCTAAACAGAAAGCAACCACACACACTCTTCCCATCTAGCACTGATGATGTTACCTAGTGGGGGTCATGAAATGTCTGCAAACAAACCACCAGGCTCAAAGAGTCCCAAGGGCCCCACAGTTCAACTCTACCTACAAATATTCTCTTTGATCAGTCATCTGGGATGAGGGTTCTCCAGCCATCAACAGCACTGTTACCTTTTCCTACTCTCAGCTAGAAACAAGCAAGAAGAGGGGACTGTGAGGCCACTTGGCCACGAGAGGATGCAGGTTAAGGACAAGAACTCTTACCTTGCAAATAATCGGCTAGGTCTCCACCATTGCAATACTGTGAAAGAGAAGAAGAAGGAAGGACCAGTATCAGAAGGGATGAAGGCTATAAGCTGGTCTATTTGACCTAAAACCTCTCCACACGTCCCATCAATTTTAAATTTTATAGACTGTTTTTATGTTTTAATATTGTATTGTACGGCACCCACCAGAGTCCTTCTGTGAGGAAGATGGGCGATTGCAAAATGTCAAATAAAATCAAAATAAAATATATACCTACTAGTTCAGTAGTTAAGTAGTTATAGTTCAGTAGTTATATTGTTACTATAGTTAATATAGTATTAGTAAAAGTATTAGTATAGTATAGATTAGAAGAATGGAATAGAATAAAAGAATAGAATCAAATAGAATTGAATGAATAAAGAATTGAATCAATTAGATTAGAACCAAATAGAAGAATAGAATAGAAGAATTAGAATAGAATCCAATAGAATAGAACAGAAGAATAGAATAGAATCAAATAGAATAGAACAGAGGAATAGAATAGAA